AGTGCAATTTGCGAAGTTGATGATGACGTGGCATGATCCTAGCCTTCCCTTGCTCCCCACGGTATCGCATCCGGTGAACGACGCGTCACCCTCACATTACGCCCCGCGTCCGAGGCTAAGTATGCCCTGCATACTTCGGTTCTTATCCACTCCGAGAACAAGCCACGTGCGGAGACAGCTAGAAGCCATATCCGAGATACGCCTAGCGTACTGCAGGTTCCAGCGCCTATAAATAGTTGCGAGATGCATCCTTCTTCCTTCACCAATTCACCATTCTCACTTCTCTCTCTCTACAATCTAACTCTCTCTAAGGGATTTAACCCCCCCCCCCCCCCCCTAAACCTTAGGTAAACCCCCTAGCACCCGAAAGAAGCCCCGAGGCTCCCGGAGTCCCGAGAAAATGGGTCTTTTGGTTTCGGAAACGCTGCTCCGAGAAAGCCCGATTTTCTTTAAAATCCGCTGTAAGTGAGCTACGCTTACGCAATTTTTAATATAGCTTTCAAATAATTATAATAATGTTATTAGGTCCTTAAAATAATTATTTGGACTATTATTATGAGTTATATAAGTATCGTTTAACGGTTATATAATAGTAATAATAGTCAGACTATTAATCAGTCGCGGTTATCGCTAGAATAAACCTTAGTGGTATTAATACTAGGTTTTATCGAAGGAAAATTGTTTTGAGAGTATTGAAGCGTTGTTCGAGTACTGAGTCACCACCGTATCAAGTGAGTGCATGGTCCCTTTCATCTTACACATATGAAGTATTTTAATATAAATTACGTGCTATGTGTGCATATTGTCTGAATACTTGTTGTCTATGCTGGTGAAAGATTTTTATACATGTTTTAAATGATGTAAGCTGTATAAAGTAATTTATATCTACAAAATATGTTGGGTAAAATATGGGTAGATAAATGATAAGGGATAAAAGCCAAAATAGAGGAACATTAGTAGTATGGACCTAGTGCCCTATAGGTACACATTGGCAGCAATGGACCTAGTACCCTATAGATGAGCACTGGCAGCTGCGCCACAACCCGTAGATGTTTTAGATCTACAGTAAACGTCCTAGCAGTTGCGCTCTAAGGATAGTATCGACAGTTGCGCCTAATAGGGAGCCTTATGACCATGACAGTAGCGTTTAAAGGTCAATACCGGCAGAAGCGCCTCATAGAAAATGTCCCAATTCTGGCAGTTGTGCCTAAGTGATAATATTAGCAGTTGCGCTTGACCACTGTGTCATTGGCAACAATGGACTTCATGATGTTTCCTTAGGATGATCCTTAGGAATGAATGAACAAGGATTAGCTGATCCTTAGGGTAAATCCTTAAGAAGATAATGGGAATGGGTAATTAGGTTGATTGTTTGATGTTTAAATATAATAATTATATTATTGTGGGTTGAAAACCCTATGTACTCACCAGGTTTCCCAACCTGACCCACTTAGTTTATTTATATCACAAGTGTTGATATGAGTCACATTACACTGAGAGATTAAGGATATATAAATCACTAGAGATAATGAATGTAAGTTCTGTTTATGCTTATGTTCTGTATTGACAATGACATCCCAAATGTTATAAAATGAATAAAAATACATTTCTTCGGAAATGCCTTGATAATGTAATTATCATGTTCTTTTGGGAACAAATTCTGTAACCTTTTTTTTTAAAAGAGATACTATGATTTTTATAAAGCATAAACAAAATCGGTCTTTTCTGGCCGTGAAAATAGGGATGTTACAGTTGGTATCAGAGCATTAGTTTAAGCGAACTAGGAATATGGATTTATTTCTAAACTTAAACTTAGAATGCTAAGCAATGATTGTGAGGAGTGTCTTAGGTAATACACCTTAATAGACACAAGCACTAGCTTATTTAGGGAAAATGCCTAACATGCTTTTATGTGCTAAATGCTTGTGCCTGATATGCTGTTATTTGTTCGGATCTTTGGTCTGTTGCCGACCGGATCTGGAAACCTTATGTGTTTAGGATTCTAAGCGTTTAACTACGATATTAGAACTAGAATATAAACGTTTCTGAGTGATAAGGATGATTTAAACGTCAATCCTAAATAAAGATCTAGATTCACCTTATTCGGTGTATAGATCAAGATGGCAAGGATCCGTAGCGGAAATGTGAATGCAAATGGGAACTGAGATCAGCCCCCAGTGATACAGCAAATACCAGTCGTAGTAGAAGTTGCACCTGAGCCAATCACCGTGGCTGGAGTACAAGCCATGATACGGGCTATGTTAGCTAAACAAAGGGAAGAAATGAGGCACGTGTTACATGAAAATAGGGAGGAACCTACAATGCTAGTTGAACAGTCTGAATTGAACGATGGGCAGTCAGAAGGAGGGAACTACAGTGGGACCGTTAGTCAAGGCAACCCACCAATAGTTCGACAAAACAACCACGATGACGGAGTCGAGAGGAATGGATGCAAGTACAAGGATTTTCTGACTTGCAAGCCATTGACTTTCACTGTAAAGGAAGATCCAATCAGGTTCATGGATTGGATCTCGAAGATGGAGTTAACTTTCATAACTTGTGGTTGCAGAGGCAAACTACAAACCACGTTTGCGGTACGCCAGTTCAGAGGAGGTGCAGTTCGTTGGTGGAACACTCTAGGGAAGACTCTAAGCCCCAATGAGCCCATGCAACTGACGTGGGCAGAGTTTTCGGTGCAGTTCAAACGTAAGTACTACTCAGCCCAAAATCTGTTCAAGCGTAGCGCTCATTAAACGTCTCAATCAAGGTGATCTTAATAGACCCAAACATCTCCGGGATGGCCTCTCGGATAGATGTGACTACCTCCTCGTGAATCATCCTTCGAATCGCATCATCGCTAACTCCACTGGTCTCAGGCTTGTGGCGCATACCCACCATGATGTCTCTAAAACACAACATAAAATAATCAGAGACTCGACTAAGAATACTCACACTCGATCATTCGCCCCTACTTGTTCCTTAGCACCCTAAGGATTCTTACTTGGACTGATCACCGACCCGGTGTTTCCAGTAGTACAGGCCCAATACTACCTTCCACCCCTAATAAGTGTTCATCCCAAGTCTTCCTCTTAGGATTCTAGTTCTCAAGTACTCTATATCTCGTCAAACATCGACTACCCTCATAGTAGATCTATCATATGCTCATCTCTGCTACATACTCCCACTTAACCAAACCACGGATAGTAGAATCCTTAAGGCTAAGGCATCACAAATCAGGCCACTCTAGTCCTAAATTATGAAATACCTAGCCTACTCTCTAGCATGCATAACATATCTCATAACATCTCATAACACATAAAGTAAGGGTATTTTAGGAAATCACCATTCGGACGCTGGCTGATTGTACACATCTCATAACATATATAGGAGTAGGATCAAATGAGAACACCAAAAATGTTGAGAATGCGAGAAAAAAGTATATTCATTTGTGATTCTATGTATGCATTTGTGGAGGAATGATGAATTTTTACGTCTTTATCTTCAATTGAAGAGAAAAAAGCATATTCATGTTGATTGTGAGTGGAAATTGATCATTTCTCCACAAATGAATACATGGAGTCACAAATGAATATACTTGTTCTCGCGTTCTCAACCTTTTAAGTGTTCTCATTTGATCATTTCCCTATATATATATATATATATATATATATATATATATATATATATATATATATATATATATATATATATATATATATATATATATATATATCCTTCTTAAATATCAAAATATCAATGATAATATCTTTCATCTACAATATGACAAATATTTAACAACAAAAACTAAGCAATTAATGCATACATTCTATGGAGAGGACCGAAGATGAAGTGTTTTATTTATCAAAAAACAACATTTCAACAATTTAGAAATAAACGCTCTATTATTATATATGTATGGATAATATAGTTAAAGTTTTTAATTATAATAATTTTAAGTTATAAAAAATAATTATAAACTATTAAAACACTATAAAAAGATGTAGACAAATATAATACTTTTAAGGTTTATAAAGGGCAAACATGATATTAAGAATATAAGTTGGATATATATGGTATTCTGATACTTAAAAAAGGCATATATGAAATGATCTCTAATTTAGGTTATCATTTTTTTATAAAATATAAAATAGTAGGCACATGGGTATTATCTAACGTGCGAATATACTTATTTTATCTGGAAAAAAAATATTATCAGCAACTCAATCCATATTGACACTTTTCTGAAAATTATTCTTTTTTACTTAACAAATAATTTCATATTTGTACCTCTACTTAGTACTTATGTATACAAAAATAAATATATGTTACCATTGATGCTACAAAATATATCATTTTTCTTATTTTTTTTAAGGGATGAGGGAGTCATTCCCTCCCAACCCACTGAACCCACTATCACATTAGTTTTGTTTTTTTTTTTTTTGTTTTTTTTTTTTTTCATATTTTCCAACCCACAACACACACAAACCTTATCTTTGTCAGCCCACTCAACCTATTCAATTAAAAAAAAAATACAAAACAATCAAGATAAAATCTTAATTAGCAATAGAGTTACCGTCAGCACCACTCCCTCTTCAGCGAATTGTTTAATTGGTTTCACTAACCCACTTCATCCTCTCTCTCCACTTTCTCTATCTCATTTTTTTGTACCATGTGTTTTAAAACTTGTACCTTAGTTGTTTTGTATTTTTTTTTAATTGAGTGGGTGGATAATATATGTAACAAAGGTGTTAACTGTATCTTTACTATGACAGTGACTTCATGAAAGCATATCATCTCGGAACCAACAATGTGACAATTTATGTAATCATTATATCCAAAATAATGTGTAACATCCCACATGTTTCATATACTAAAATATTATTTTGAGTTCAACCATAATATTTGCAGTAACTATAAGTTCATTTAGCTAGAAGTTTAAGAGATAAATTGACATTACAATTTAAGAGTTTTAATCCAATTTCCACTCATTGTAATGAGTTCAGAAAACTGAGAAATGATCATCACTTTTAAAGGTATTATTAAAACCTCATCTCAATATGTAAATGGTCTTGTTGAGAAATAGACCGGATTCCATTATCGATTGGACTTAATGTGGACAGTCATCTAAGAACTTTATTTTTTCTTATAATAAAAAAATAAAAATGTACTTTTAGTTTGAAGAAAATGTATATAATATAAAAATTGATCCAAGAGTGTGATGGATGACCATCCCATAGAACATATACACCTGTCTGTCCTTGAGGTGGGGGGTGCTAAATGACTGGACCCATTATGGTGCATGAAAACCGGAGTAGCTCACAAAACATGTCTGAGGAAGTGGGGATCTGGAAATTTAAGACGTTTTTTCATCAACAACCAACAAACCTTCTCCTCAAAACATGCCTCCACATGCCTCCCTTAACTTCATGTTTTCACGTTGTTTTCTCAAATCAAATTACCTCGTTTCTTGATTTTGATGTTTCCTTCTTTCTCTCCAACCAAAATAACAAAAAAAAATCCCCATTCAAAAACACATAAAACGTTTACGCAAATATGAAACATTACGAATTTTTAAATTCGAGTACAAAAACTTGCATTTAAAAGAAAAACAAAAACTATTCTATTTTTTAAATCCCCATAAACAACCACTTAATCAAATGCATCATCATCATCATCAGGCAGTGGTTGGTTCGCAGCCTGAGCAAGCTCCGCTTCATGCCTGCACAAAAAGGGCAAAATAGGTAATTCATGTTCGGACATTTTTAACATTTATTTAAAAAAAAAAAAAAAAAAAAAAAAATTAGGGATTTGACTTACTGTTGTTGGGCTAACAAATCAATTTGGACCTCTGGAGGAGCAAGAGCAGGTGACTCCACAAAATGAAGGTTTGCATCTCTAAAAATATAAAAACAAATTAAAAAAAAAAAAGATTTCTTTAATAGAAATAAAATTTGAATGCTAAATAAAAGAAAGTATGTTGCTATTAACTAATTACCCAGCAAGTTTTCTAGCAAGGTACAAGAATGGCTTCTCAAAGTTGTAATTGCTTTTAGCAGAGATTTCATAATACTGCAAATTCTTCTTCCTATGAAATGTAACTTGCTTTGCTTTAACTTGTCTGTTCTTCACATCCACCTTATTTCCACATAGAACAATCGGAATATTCTCACACACCCTGTTTTCACACAACAAGGGTATTTACGTCTTTTCTACAGACAATCCATGTATTGAATGGGGAGTAATTGAAAGGATATAAAAAAAAAAAAAAAACCTGCAAAGGTCGCGATGCCATGTAGGGACATTTTTGTAAGTGAGTCTAGCTGTGACATCAAACATTATAATAGCACATTGTCCATGGATGCTGTGTAAAAAAAAAAAAGTAGATATTATTAGTACAAAATGAAAGCAAGATAGAAGAAACAAACATAACATACATGTAATTAACATTCTCTTATTATATTTTTTAAAACATTAACATTTGTAGTAGTTAGAATTTGAATTCTAAAAGATTAATCATAAGAATCATGATAACTTTTTAATTATTGAATAGATTTTACTTACTAGTATCCATCACGAAGCCCACCAAACTTCTCCTGTCCTGCAGTATCCCAGCAATAGAAACGAATCTTTCCACAGTTTGTGAAGAAATCCAATGGGTGAACTTCCACTCCGATAGTAGCTGTGTTGAAAACAGAGTGTGAAAATTCTCAGAGACAACAAAAACATCAAATGCAAAACCTATAAATCCAAAGACATATTTCAAGAGATGGATACAAGAAAAACTTACGTTCATACTTCTTCTCAAATTCACCAGTTAGATGCCTCTTCACAAAAGTAGTCTTCCCTGCATAAAGCATAAAGAGTTAAAGACATATGACATTAGTAAAAACAGACTAATTCTAATGGAAATAAATACCACTATTCCACAATTGAAATAGTCTATGGAATCTGACAAACTGTGATCTTTCTAAACCAGATAACACAACAGGATAATCAATTGTGTACATTCTGACAACAAGCAAACATGTTTCATTCTAAACAGATTTACGTTTACCCTTTAGGCATTGCATAATAAAATACGATGTAATTAGGCATAGGGAATCAAATAATGACAACAAAATGAAGTAAAAACATGTACTTATAACATAGAAATTAGATAAACAATAACAGTAAAGAGCCATACCTGTTCCTCCATCACCAACAATCACCAGCTTAAAGCTTGGATAATCAACCGTTTGTTGATTTGGTAGAGCCTGCACAAATCAAACGTGTTTAATCATTCGTAAAAGTGGATACCAATTTCAATACATCGCATATGATCTATACAACGTAAAAATAAAACTATCGAACAACGGAAGACGATTTGAAATCAAAACCCTAGATAAACCCTAATAACGTGTAAATACTTCATTGTTCATAGGATATTACAACAAAAATAGAAAAAATATACAACAAAAGAGACAATACCATGGTATATCGGTATGTATTTTGATTTGCGTATTGTAAACAATGTCGATTGATTGATTAGAGTTTGGGTTAGGTATATATATAGTGGAGAGGAGAAGAAGGGATATGCGTATGCTAGCTTTGAGTTGACGCTGATTCGTCAAGATTAGCGTAAATGTTCCGCTCATTATTTATGGCAAAATTCTTGTCTCTTTGGATACGCATTCGTGTCCAAGTTTTTTACATTCATTTTTTTATTTATAACTAAATGGCTTATTATTATTCATCAAAATTAAAATGACCACTAAATCATAATTTTTTCAATTTATAACTTAAAATGACCATATCGCCCACTAATATTGCTTTGTGACTTGTGAAGAGAAGATGTTTAGAGGATCATGTCTTGGGTCGTGGTTAGATATCTCATAATATTATGGAAACATGTTCTTTATCCATATTATGCTCTTGTTTCATATAGACGATAATGGGGTGATGTGGTTTCATGTTCGAGGATACAATCTGTAATTTAGACCTTGTGGGTTTTGCCTTATCTTCCGTGTTTATGATTTGTTATTGTTACATTGGTAAATGAGGATATTGGCCAATTTAGGAGAAGTTGTTGCTTTGGTCGGGTCTTATAATTTGTTGTATAGCAATGATTTAGTTGAATTGTTTGAAAGTACAAAGTTTATGACTTATCAAACAAGGATGTTGTCTGCTTGTGGTTGTCAAGAGAACTTCCCCAATAAGGGTTTCGGGCTAGTTTTTTCCGCACAATGACTAATTCTCACTGCAAACATGAGATTATGCCTCATATCATATGTTGGTGATTTTAGTGTCACATAACATTTTGTGTAATTAGAACTAACATTTAAACTAAAGGGCTTATCATTTGTATTCTATATTATATGTTTTGATAAATGTGGAGTTCAAGCATATATAAGATCGAATTATAACCCGATACAACAGAAATGTATGGGTCAAGGGTTTGTGCCCCCTTTCAAGGTCCAAGGGGCAAAGCCCTTGGCGGGGGTTGGGGCAATGCCCTAAAAGGTCTTCAGAAATTTGAATTAGTTTTCATTATGGAAACCGAATTCTACTAGGTGATTTTATGGTAAATTTGATAAATTTTATCAGTTTTGAAAACCATTGATTATATAATTAAATTTAAAATTCTTCTAACTAATTTAGAAGATAACAACCCTAATCTGTCATGCATATATATATATATATATATATATATATATATATATATATATATATATATATATATATACACAATTATCCTTTTAGATTATCCTAGAATGCATTTCATATAACACAGACATAGAATGGAAATAACAGTTTGGAAATTGAACATACACGATCCACAATGAATCCAAATTTACACCGCCACCCTACTATCCCCCAACACCATGGAGTCATTGTACACAAACATTCATGGCCACAGTGGTTGAGTAGTGACGAGATTTGAACATTAGTTAATAAATTGTCCATCATATCTTTCACATACTTTACCAAGTCACCGCAGCCTAAATGGTTGTGTGACTTGTGTCCTATTAATTTGTTGGAGGTTGAATTTACAGAACGCAACATAATTTGATGGTTTCCTTATGACACATGTGCCTTGTCGATTATTTAGAGGCATGAAACATGTATTAAATTCACAAATTTCAATTTAATTTTGTGCATATTTAGAGCTAATCATCAGTTGAAGTTGTTATATCACTTGTAGTCTAACATATCAAGAGGAGTAGATGGAAAGGTGCTCATCAACAATATATCAAGGGTTCAAATCTCCTTTGAGACAAAAGAAACAATTTATGAGAAAGGTAAGGAGTGTTGTGTATGTGTAATTTTAAAAAATATTGTTTAGGTGCCCATGATGATTATATATATGTACGCAAACATGCTTTACGTTTAGTGGTTTCCATGCAGGATAATTCGAAGAATAAACTGAAGACCGATAGTAGGAAAAAGAAAATGAAAGTAACAATGTTTACATGTCAACTCACATGTATAGGACGTACAAATATCAACCACAAACAACATACAGTATAACATGAATTAACAATAAAGAAAAATTATTATTGTTGCCAAAACAACAATGTTAAAATCAAAATAAAAAGGAATGTTGTCTCACTCCCTTTAACGATCCACTTATTTTAAAAAATAAAGAAACAAACTAAGGCAAAGTACGCTGCTGAAGAGGCAATGCTCCCAGGGCCTCACGTTCTGCTTTCTCCCTCTCTACCTGTAATAAAACAAAACATAACAGTTTGTTCATATCAACAAAAATCAATCAAACCTTATAACACACAGCTTTTATAATGAAACAAAATAACATGAAAAAATTGGTGACAATAAACATAGTTGGATTTTAAAAGGTTGATCATTCTAAATTATAGCCACGTGTGAAAAAAAGTGATGCCTTAGGAGTACACACCTTACAATTACAAATATTGTCTTCAAAAGAGAAGTTTGACAGAACCATGTTTTCATACTGTATAATAACTCACTTTTAAGGGTTTGACAACAATCAAAAGAGTATAAAGAGGTAACATAAACACCCTATTTTTATTAATATATATATATATATATATATATATATATATATATATATATATATATATATATATATGCAGAAGTCATAAAGCAGAAACCACAGAAGAACATTTCATAAAATTTTCAGTAATTCAATTAAACATCTTTATCAATCCTGTGATCTCCTAGAGTAGGGAATACTTAAACTGGTTATATAAAAAGCATACAATCAATTAGCAAAGTACTTACCAGGGCTAGCATGTCAGTTAGATAGCTCCTAAAGGGCGTCTGTTGAGCCTGAAACAATCAATAAAATAGATCAAAATCAGAACTTTTCTCTTGTGTTCGATTTACCCAAAACAGTTGTTGGATGTTTCAAAATATATAGAGAAATAAAACAACTGATCTATTGATAAAATTGTGTTGTAAATAGCAAAACAAAATCGATTTCATGCACGACAATCAACTAATTATGAACAGAAATGAACCTCTAGATCTTTAGGAAGGTACTCGTGTTTCATGGAGAGATCCATAGCGCGTAAGATTCGCTGGTTTCTAGCATCAACAATCTCACGAGGCAGTCTTGCAAGAGCTTCCTTTATATCAAGAGATTCCATCGGATCGTACAAATCGTCATATCGCAACCCTAATTTGTCATCAATACCACCACAGAGCCACATCAAAACATCAAAATATACTAAAATCCCCAACCAAAATCACAACAATTACAAATCTGAAAGAGTACACACGACAAATTAACAAAAACCTAGATACTGACCGTATTTGCGAAGGCGATTGGCGATGGTTTTCTTGTGCAGAGCAGCGAACCAATTTTTCTGCGGATTCAAAATCGCTTTCACCAAGGTCGCCATTGAATTGATTTCAAACGTTCCCACACAGAGACTTCCCCTTTCGCCTCCAGGCTCCGATCTTTCTAGACTGCTTCTATGCTCGAAAGTTACGTTGATCGTAACTTGTTAGACCGAAAGGTTGAACAATAGCGGATAGCCGTTCGATTCCCTTAGCCCCTGGCCTCAGGCTCAAGGGCCCAAAAGATCATAGCCCTAAAGCCCGTCCAAATTACCCATATTAGTTGAAAATTTTATGTAATCACCATGAAAAAAGTTATTACAAAAGCTTGTAAATACTTTTTGAAAAATCTACATTAACTTTGAAAAAGGTTCTCCAATTGTTTCTTAGTTGCAATACAAGTTACTATTATAACTTGATACTTTAGGAAATAAGAAAATACATGATACCACGTGTCATAGTTGGTTAACAACAAAAGATGCGCTCCAAGTCCTTGGGCTGTTGAACAGAATCCAACCACACCGGAATGAGTTCCGAATCAAAAAAGTCAACTGAACTTTACTTAAGACGAAGGAACCGAGTGCCAAAAAAAACCGGTTTCGCTTCAAACTACTAGTAATTAAGACTAAAAGTAAGGAAGTCCTTTTCTTGACTTGGCCTGCGTTCATTATACCTACCCCCTTTTTAAAGAACTTGATTTCAATCTCAACAAAGAAATGAAAGCATAACTCTTTGCTTGTCCAACTCGGAGAACATAGGTTGTATGTGAATACGAGATGAAGGCTTAAAGCAAAAGCACTGATGAAGATATTGATTATTGTAAGCATATGGTCTAACATGGTTAACAAGGATAATTTATAGGTTTTTGCGTTTTTTACTGACTACGGTGTTAAGGTTTGAGTGCTACGAATGCAACTTTGACCTTATGTATTCATGACTTTGACTTTACATGTTATCGGACTTTGAGCTTATTGATTTTACTTTTTTTTTTTTTTTAATTTCATGTCGTGTTGAAACATGTGATACTCCTACATGAGACTACTCACTTTTTAAAAGTATTTATAACAACTAATCACCGCTAAACAACCGTGATGATACTAATTTTACTCTAAGTTTTCTACACTAACCCATCTTTTTTCATTTTGTTGTTGTTTTTCCATCCATTGTAATTGGTTTTTGTTCCTATAAGCTCATTCAAATATCATCGTTATCTCGATTTCCCAACTTATTATCACCATCATCCACTAATTATAGATCAACATTTTCCCTTTAGATTTCATCCGATAGCAATTTCATATATTTTCATGGTCGTTATCAAGCTCCAACCTTGCACACACTCGGTGAATAAATTAAAAATGTCATACACATAATAATTAGGTTCATTAAGAACAATATGAAGAAATTTATAGAGGCAATTCGTCAACTTGAATACATACAAATTCATCATACTTTTTGTTCAAATAAACCCATAATATATACAAATTCATCATACTTTTTGTTCAAATAAACCCATATGGCCATATTTCAATGGCAAGGAAATTCAATTCGGTCAAGAGATTTTCTTCCGATGATCTTTGCAAAAACATAGTGCGGATATGAAGAATCCTATGATTTTATAAAAATCGCTCCATTTAAACAAATCAAATATTTTACTTGGGAGGATGTTTTCCAAATACGACTAAAACACAACTACTCAACGAGGTTGATAAATACGATATCAAATACATACTTAGGCTTAAAAACCAAATCCCAAATGACATTACTATTAGAAATATGGTTTAGTGGCACTTGAAAATCTGAGAATCGTGATAATCACTTTCAAATCGAAGTATTTGGGTGGTACTCCCAAATCCTCAATTGGATAAGACTCAGATAAAATCAAAGAGAAAGAAAGAGAGAATGAGATGGTGTAATTTTCGTGAGTACCAGAAAACTGACTAAAATTGGTTATATACATTCATTGTCTGAAAAACTGTCAAAACTGTCATATAACAGTTTTCTCAACAGTCAAAACTGTTATAAATCCGGGTTTGGTATAAGGATTAATGCAAAATCAAAACCGGGTCAAATATTCAAAATTTGGATTTTCTGATGCATTTTTAATACAGCAATATAACCCAAATAAAAAACAGCTCGATCCCAGCCAGGGGCTCTGCCCCTTGGACCCCGCCAGGGGCTGCCGCCCCTTGGACCCCGCTCCCAGGGGCGCTGCCCCCGGACCCCCGTTCGTTCAGGGGTTTCGACCTTAAATGACAGTGTACTTTGATACTTGATCAAACTTAAACAAGTGTGTACTCCACACCTTCCTTACTTGTTTAATATTTATCAAGATCATTTTTAGTCAACAAAGTAATCCCATTACACTTAAATAACATTGATGATAACAAATCACCAACAATTACAATAAATGCGTTTATCATCTATTTTATCATCCATAATCATTACTACTTTCATTAATTTAAGGATTAACTCATTAGTGGAAGATTATCTACTAAGTGAGAATACTTGTAACCGTAAACATTATCAACTATAGGGACTAACTGCCATCAACCTACTCCAAACAATTATCCTATCGAAAATTATATTTCAAGTTAAATTGAGTCGTTACTCAACCCTACATGCGCTTCACATGAGGGTATATTTGTCATTTAATCTTATCCACCATCATATAACATGTATGGAGCCTTCATCATAGTCTCTTCACTAAATAAGAGAGGTTTTTCAGACATTAATCGGTAAAGAAGTTATATGAAGCTCAATCAGAGAAATTGTATTGACTTTGTGGAACACTCGTCCAAAGAATGGAAGGGAAATCATAAGAAAGGTGTATAATAAGTCTATTGCTGAAACACACAAACTTGTGAATAATGATGCTTCATGATTTTATTTTTTTCTTAAAATTCTTTTTTTATATTACAAAGGGGTATACCTTTTTTATTTACCCTCCTGATTTTACAGGGAGTATACCTTTTTTATTTACACTAAAAGTTCATCATGGAGGGTTGTTACAAAGTATCATGGACATTGCTACGTGGATGTCATATTTAATTACAATGAGTGTGTGGGCATAAAGACACTCTTAGTCAATGAAATTGATGTAATAACCCAAGAATTATAATACGTTAATGGTGATACCATCTATTACCATCGGATTCATGAGGTCGAATTGGACTATGATATGTTACCATTAGAATGCAACCAAAATTATGTTACCATTAGAATGCAACCAAAATATGGTAAGTTATGGAAATGTGTGATAGATAACAAACAAATCAATATATACACTAAGAATGGACAAATAATAGTTCACACTTATTTCATAACCTTGTCTTCTAAGGTAATAATAGAGAAGGTAAATTATGGTGTTTCCCTTGAAATAAGCATGACTAAAATTAATAGAATTAGTGGTGGCTCATGTAGAACAAAATTAAACATATATATATATATATATATATATATATATATATATATATATATATATATATATATAACAACTTACCATACAACCTAAAGGATCACAATCAACCTAAAGGATCTATATTTTCACTATTAAATAGAACAACCAATTGAACATCAAGAACTCTACAAGAACCATAATATTTTAAAAAATAACGAAAGAGTTTAGGGTTACATACCTTTTGATTATACCAGTAGATAATCAATCACAATCGTTCTAGTAGTTACTTGGAAGCTAGCACCAAAATTATTGTGTCTCTTATGGTTCACATCTAACCTTAGCAACAAGGAGGTTTAACGAGAGGAGAACGGAGAAGTAAAATATCGGCTATGCCTCGGAATAATCAAGTGGCAGAAAAATGTAGGTCTTAAGGTCTATTTATAGTGGAGATTAGGAAACCCTAGATAATCATAATTTGAATATTATATTAATATCTTAAATTATGTAATATCTACTCCTTAATTATCTATAAGGGATATTCTAGAAACCCTAGAATATTCCCTCCAGAAACCATCCATCCTAAGGGAGGAAGGTTCTGGTACCTCTTGTTCAGCCATTGAACAATTATAGTTATAAACATATACTTTTAATTAATCCAATTAATTTCTGATTAATTATTACTTAAACAATATTATTTCTAATTAATATATTATTTCCATAACATATTAATAAATTCATTTATTGCTATTTATTAATCATATAATAAATCAATAAATCTCTCTCTCTCTCTCTCTCTAAAAGTCACCATATTCAATTACTAGGTCTGAGGACAACCCAAAAGGACTTTGCTAATAATTCAAGTATATACTAATTCAGTTATTGACTTAGACACCTAATCCAACAATCTCACACTTGGATAAGTCTATAACAACAATTAGCAGTATAACTTTTAAACTAAAATAGCAAATAGTGCTTCCATAGCAATTGTTGAACTCTGAACTGACTAGACATTGGCCATAAAATAAGTGATCCACTATATCTCCATTCTACTAGATATTGTATAGACATGACAAATGGATTAGAATCAATCTAATTATCCAAAATATTGTTTCCCGATTTCTGATTTGTGATGACATCAAAAGACTTCTAAGTGAACATAGCAGTTTAGTCCTAGCTAGGCCCAACACTATAAAGTCAACACCAAATCACCGAGGGGCCCAAAGATATTGTTTTTCCTATTAGGGCAAAAGAATATTTTGTGACTTATATGGCTGTATCCTTTACTCACTAAATCATACATGATACTGCGTTTTATAACATCATGTTACTGACACATTTTTGCAATACTAATGCATAACCGACTTGTAAATTACAACTCATGTATCTCCGTTTTAAGAATATAATATATTATTGTCTCAGAATTACTCGTGATACAATCCATGAAGTAATTATCTGAGTGTGGGTTTATCCAATACTTAAATCTCCATTTCTAAATACTAATAAATGTTGTAGCAATACAATTGATAAGTCTAATTCCCATAGACAATCTATGTCACACCCTCAAACTGGAACAACGGAAACGTCCGAGGGTGGATGACGTCATTACACAGTATCATAAAAATTGAATATAAATGAAACATAGCAACACAAACATTCATACATTATGATTTCATGTTTACATTGTTTACAAAACTTTGTTTGTTCAAAAGTTAAATACAAATAACTAAAAAGTAGAAAACATGATAGATATTTATGTGATATATGATACGCTAGTTGACTATCATGTTATTTGCATGGAAGACCCCGGGAGGAGCCCATGGCGGTTGGAAATAATACCATGTGGGGGAGCCCATGGCATTCCTAGGTAAAGACCATGCGGGAGATTCTATGACAAGTACGTATAAGACCCTGGGAGGAGTCGACGACATCCTTATATGTTTGTATGCATGGATTATGTGATATATGTAGCTTTTAT